TATCACATTTATTATTTTTACCCACTAAATGTGTGGGATTTTCAAGTATTTCACTATTAATTAATCATGATGTCAGATAAACACAGATTCTGTAAAAGCAGCAGAAGTTTTCTCTATTCCCATCTGTGAAGTTTCTTCCTAAAGACAATCAGTTATTTTTTTTAAAATTATGTTTTCAATCTTATCTCAATTACTATAATTCATGAGGTAAAAAAGCTGTAGTAGAAGCTAATTCAGTAATCTATCTTATCATTGGCTGTAAGAGAATAGTTACTCTACCTTCATGGAAGATGTTATAAGGAAATATTTTCAAAATTTTCCTTATTAGAGAAGGTACATAGTTCCTTATGTTTCTTTATCACAAAATGCACATACTGTTTCACTGTACAACTGTTTTTAAATGGCTTTCAGGCAGAAAAATAAGTGTATTCTTGAAATCTACATCCTATTTATACTGAGCGGTAGATTTCTACAGTTCATTATAAATCAGCATTTACAAAATTCCATGCTTAGTTGGCATGTAAAGTATAGTGAAAATGTGCATATCAGAAGAGTTAATTTTAGCTAATAAGGAATTAAAGTGAAAAGACCTAGAGCTATTAACAGAATGTTGACCTTGAATCCCATGATGTAAGCAAAGGGCTGGCAAATAAGCTAGGTTGAAGTGTGACAAAATAAGAACAGTTTCAGGCTAATGTATCACTGTACTTGTTTAGAGTTAATCAAAAACATAAGCCCAGGTTAGAGATGGGGTTATCTTTCCTATGCTCTTTTTCCAACTCACTATCTAACTACACATGAAATGTATTTACTATTAAATGGATTTTTTTGGGTAATTTTTTCATGTCTCCTACTATACAGAGGTAAATAAGAGAAATCAGCCCTAATCTACCAAAAGGAAAATGTTCTTTTGACCAAATTCTAAGGCCTGAACACAGGTCTTACTGTCATGAATACTGGCTTCAGTGAGCTTTGAGGCTTTTCAAAATTAGATTTTTCCCTTTATATATTTTTCAACTACATTAATGCAAATGACTTTTTGGAGTGCATTTTTTACCAGTTTGGTTGTTTTTTGTCTAGATTATGCAGAGACACAGCTCTGTACAGAAAGAATGCAAATATTACTCATTGTTTCAGGATTTGACTCATTGCACACATACATGATCAGATTTAAAGTTTAAAAAAAAATACAAAGGAACATTGGAAAAAGACAGACAATTTAAACTAGTGACCTATTGTTCTAACACTTCAGAAATTTATTCTGATGCTCTGAATTTTATCCCAGGAAGTATGCCTGGATTCAGCAGGGGGAAGAAAAACAATCTGTTGTCTCTAAGGCAGTCTTACTGATCATTACTTCATCTTGGCAGGATGGTAACAAATACCCAAAATACAGAGTAGACACAGCTTTAAATAATACTGTGACATCTGAAATCTTCTGAATAGCAAAATAGAGCCAAGATATTACCTCTGGTTAACTCATTATTACAGAACTCATGTGATTCCTTTACCAATGTCTCAGTTTTTCCTACTGTCATGTGTGATATTTCAATACGTAGTTCTTCAAAGGATCAACTATATTTTAATTATGTTCCTTTTAAAACATAAGTATGCATGCAACACTGTCATTTTTAGCAGTGATCAGTAAAATATAATGGCATACTTCCCATGGCTTTAAATTATCTTCAGCATCTCTCCAGTTCTTTCTGACTTCAAGTATTTTTTTCTATTTCTGTTCTTAAAACTAGATCTGGGCCAAGGAAAACATGTACAGATTCTAACTGAGCTTGTTTCAAGAGTCAAGTTTCCAGCTAGATCATGATAATATAATTATATTTGAAAAAAAGGAAAACTGCAATTCTATTTGAACTAGATTTTTTTCAGTTCCGCATGGGAGACTGAAAACAAGACATGTCAAGGTTTAGAACTAGAGGCGTAAAAGCAGTTCAGTTCAAAAATTTCAAATCTGATTCCTCCTGATAGCATTCAACACAATTTACTTCAGCATAATAAAGCAGATTTTAGGTAACTTGTGTTTGGCAACAGGCAGCTTTAAGCATTCACCATACTTAAGCCATCCTGCCGCCTTTATCTTTTTTTGGCATGCCTGTATTCAATGCGCCAGTTTCTGCATGTCTATGTAAGTGCGAGACAATACTAATTAGGTTAAAGAGCAATGATTGATTTTTAGTGAGTATACTTTAAAGCTGCTCTCAAACTGACTCATCCTTGCCAAGTTCCTCTGTTGCTTTCACACAGCCTAGTTTTTCCCTGTATTTTCATTTTTCAGCAAAAATTTCTGTTAGTCACACGCTCTGCTCAAAACAAATGCTCAAGGACAAATCTTTCTGATCTGTCCTGTTGCTGCTAAACAAGCCTCACAGTCATCAGAAAAAAAGAACCAAGATGTTCGAGTCACTCAAAAAAAGCTGCTGCGTTTCATGCTGCCAGTAAGAACACTGAGCTGAACAGAACATGTTACGCCACCCCCAGTCACTGCTATTTTCATATTAACTTATGCTATTACAAGTACCATGCCCTATACATGCCTTTGATACATTTTGCAAACTTCATCTTAAAATACAATGGTTTTCCTCATTATACAGACTGTTCCTGATCCAGGCTGATCCAGTGATTCTAGTTTCCAGCACATTTGTCTCTTGCTTATATCCAGTTATTCCTGTCAGCTTGAATAATCTTGCATCCTTCTTCTCCACATTTTCGTGAGGTTTACCCTGGAAAATATTCCCTGTCAGCTTCATTTCACAAGGTTCATTTCCCTGAAACACTGCTATAGTCTCTTCCTCCAAGGCAAGCTTTTTCATCTCCCCACTCCACTCTCCCTTCAGATTAAATCCACCTTTCTCACCCTTAGATAAGATGAGGTCCTGTGATTGCCTTATGCATTGACTGAGGCTCCTAAGTTTCACATACAGACAGTAAAAGTCCAATTGAAAAAAAATATAAAAATCCTAGTCTTCATGCATTCTGTTTCTCTCACTAGTAACAGTTCCTTTCTATCCAGATATTTTATGGTATTTGGGGGTTTGACATAGATTGTGTCCTATGTCAAAACCTTTAGGCAGCAAGATTTTTGCAACTGTTAAGTGTTTTTCTATTTTTACTGATCTCACCATAGTCTCATCTAGAAAACACTGCTCCTAATAAGCTGTTACCCAAGCAAATTTTTTCATCTTATTGCAGTCCTAATCTTTCATCTTTCATATAAAAACTTGTCTGCACATTCTAAAAATACCAGAAAGATCCTCCCAGAAGGTAAATTGCACCTCACACATTGGTTGAAATATGTCATTCTTATGAACACAAAGAAAGCAACTGTAGTGACTTGAGCACGAGTGTTATGCAACTTGTCATTTAAAAGCCATTTCAACAGCAGCATAACGGGTGCCTGAGCATCTTACAGCTGTTTTGCAGATTGGCCCATCTATGAAGCCTGATCAATGTGGCTGACGCAGGCATGCAAATGTGATATGAGTTACTATGTTTATTGTACTGGGTTGGTTATTTTGACAAATCTTTTCAAAACAGAAAGCATTCTAAGCTACTTCTGTTCCTGTTTTGATGTGCTGTGCACATAACATATCTTTGTTACATGAGTGTTGTATTTTCAGGTCCAAATTTTTCAGATCAAGATCTCTGCTCATTTCTTTGGCTTTTAACCTCAAGAATGAATATTTTCAAGCAGGATGGGAAGATAAATTCAGCATGATTACTGCCTTTGAAGGTGATTATTCAAGCAAAAGAGTACTGTAAAAATAACTTCTAATAATCTGAGTTCAATAAAATATTTCATAATACGTCCATTATTGTCTAGAGGAGTATTTTATAAAGGTTTCAGAATGTCTCCAACCAAGGTGATTCCATAAATAATGCTTTCACAGTGGTTTCTAAGGTATCTTGTGTCTCCTTTGTGACGTAAACTGGTTGTTATGGAGATGGTAAAATATCAACCATTCTTTGTGAGACTGTGCAAGATCAATTTTGGATCCGTTACAGCAGCTTCTTTTCTCTGCTCAGCTATAATCAGCCGTCCTTAGCAACAGAAATAGATGTATAAAAAGTATAAAATGTTTTAAAACAAATGTTTGCACAATACTTTTAACTGTTTGACATACAGAAATAGACCTGTCTGCATTTGTAACAGATGCAAATTCCATTCCAAATTCCCCCAAATTCAAATACGTCTAATGGCCTTCAACAGAAATGAGGCTACTACTGTAATGAAGGTTTAACAACTTACAAATAAACAGACCACTCCCTTTTCATTCCCTATTTTTTAATTTCATAATCTATACCTTACAAAAATATTTTTTGTTTTTTAAAGTGGGGAGAGCAAAGATTAATATCTTTCACCCCAAATTTAGGGAAAGTACATAAGGGACTTCTGTTCAACAGTGTGTTAAAACTTTCTAGAGCTTCATGAAATAGAAAAGGGTTATGTCTGGGGAGAAGTACGTAAAAATATGATCTAAGATATTTGGGTAGGCTGCCTGTAGAGTATTTTTCTCTATGTTTAATCTATGCTAGTCCATGTGTCTAAGTGCGTAGGCACCCAGTCAATGATTACGGTTAAAGAACACATAGCTGAATCGGGGTTTTGCAGAGTCCTGTAGCAAGACAGGAGTGTGGGAATTCCTTGTTCTCCTCCCAGTCTGTATTTAGAGGCACAGACAAGCACACGAAAACATACTGTACTTGATTGGAAAGTCATAAAATTTTCAAGGAGTCCCTCAGTTATTTGCAGATTATCTGTACTTTTATGGAAACATTACAGAGAAGTAAATAATGAAGATTACTAGAAATCCATGTTGTATATTCTAATAGTACATTCATTTTACTGAACAGGGGCCTAGATGTAAAGTAGAAACACAGCCATAGGGGAAGGAAGAAAAGATATCCTTTTCTTCTGCTATGTGGTAATGGCAACAAAGTGTGCATTGCAATGAATGGAGACAATCCAGATAGGAACGTTTGCCTACCTCGGGTGCCATCCAAAAGGGTGTTCCCACTGACGTGTTCCTACGCAGCCGTGTGCTGGTGAGCTGGGCTGAAACACCTGCAATAAAACAGATACAAAAAACTTGGCTTCAAATTCATTCTGTCATTTCAGTCAGTTTATTTCAAGTATCTGGAAAACAAACTCCAAGCCTGGGAATACAGCTGCAGAACACGCCTGGCCAAAGTAGGTGCAGCATTTGTACTGAATCCTTTGTTTGATTAATTTCAGGTTGCTGGTTTTTTTTCAGAATTGCCAAGAGATTTTTTTGTGAATGACTTTCAGTTTGAAGCTCTTTCATTCAAACTCAAAAATTCAATTGGTACCTAAATATCAGACGACTTTCTGCTGTTTTCATGAGTATAAACAGGAACTATTCAAATTACAACTTGACTTTAAGCCTTCTGTTTCAGAAATTTACTCCCTGAACAGCACTGGCAGGAAATTTGTTCACTAGAGTATTGGCAGAGGCTCCTATTCAACAAAACATTTATACATTTGCTTAAGTCTTTCACTATTGAGCAAAGCATGGAAGCTCAAATGCGCACTGCAGCTTGTACTTAGGGAGTTAAGCACATGCTTAAAACAAAGCCTGTGCTTCAGTGCTTTACTGACTGGGGCTGGACTACTGAAGCACAGCTGAAAAAAGGAAGAAAGAGTTAGAGTTAAATCGAACAACGTTAACAAATTAGAATGAACTTTCACAGCAAATTTTCTGTGCTCTGGTTGACATATAATTGAACTGTAGGGCTCTATTAAGTTGACACAAAACCAATATTGACTTAAAAATAGTTCACCTTAACATTGTTTAAAAACAAAAAACACAGTGGTCTGCTCCCATGGCATTACCCAGAGACAAAAATGGGCAGAAACATATAATACACATTGCCTGATGCCAAGATTCAATTCTGTGGTTATTTTTCATTTTCCAGTGTGATTGCAAGCCATCAGTGATTTCCTGAGTACTGCTATGAAACAGTTAATGGCTAAGACCTACAGCAAGCCTCTGTGCATTTAACTCTGATCTCTCTTCAGCTAGCTTAATTTGTAGCTGCTATCTATGGACACTCCAAAACAGTGCAGAATACCAAAGAGCTGAGAGAGGGAGACAGTCAGAGAGTGTGAGTGAGCATGAGCATAAATGAATTATAAGTTGCAGACATTTTGGGTCGACTTACACTTTGACAAACATTTATTCAAATATATCATACTGTTGGGAGCATTAGAGGGAAGAAATGTGTGTTACATTGAAAAAGCAAGTTGTGAAGTCATGCAATAAAGCAAAAAAAAAAGCCTCAATTAAGGATATCTGTGTAATCCTCTCTGTGACCTAATATCCGAATGTACAGTCTTGAATATCAAGTAACTTTTTTTTTCCTCCTTCAAGATTCTCTCTCATTCTGTGGACAGAAAGGATAGTGTTCACTGATTAGGTAGTCATTTAACAATTTCTTTTAGGTCCATCCATTTGAGTTCTAGTTATTTATTTAGTATATCCAAGCCTATAGTAAATTTAAAATTATTATTTTCTTTTCCTTTTGACATGTTTCGTTCCCTCCTCATCAAACAATAAATCTCCTTAACATTCCTGCAAAATGGGAGAGGATTATTAGTTCCAGAGATTAACCTAAAAATATCCAAAGCATGCACTGTTTTTGGGTACTTAATCTTGAGATCTTTCAGTTTTCAGGCACTCCACATGCCTCAAGTAGAGCTGTAATAGATCTCAGCTGCAGTTCAAGAACACTTAGCTCTTCCGCAAAGGAGGACAAGATGTTTCAAACTGGCTGTCAGGAAAATAGGGAACAGAGTGGCCACTTCTAAAAAGTTTGATGCAAGTGACCTGCAACATCACAGAGAAACACTGGCAGAAACAAGAATAGTCTCCAATTTGATGCCATTCAACTGTCTGACGTGCAAGTCCCTTCTCTTCCTGAACTCCTTGCATTTTTCACTATATATCTTACACCTTCTGCAACAGTTCTACAAACAACATCACCTGTGACTCAGTCCTAATTCATTCCCAGACTCCCTTCTGTGACTACAGCAGTGTGCTAGAGGGGAAAAATAGCAACTTAAAGAAAGCTTAGTGCCTGATGCTTTAGTTAGGAAGCCCACAGATGTGTAGGCATTTCTTAGCATTTCCTGTTACACGTAGAATTTAACTCATGTCTTTTTCTGAGGTAGTCATATTTGTTCTAATTTTCTAGCATTACTCTTGTAACTTAAAAAGTAGAAAAAAAGCCCTAAAACCTAAATGTGGAATCAGACCCACCCATGGGACACCAGAAAGGTTGGGATTTTCAGTTTCCTTGAATGTGGCACTTGGAGTTGCAGCACACTGATCTGCCTTTGGAAGCCAGAGCTCCAAGCTGAGCTTCCGCTGCAGCTAAGGCCCTTGACACATCTGATAAAAACATTTTGCTTTGGAGAGGAAAAGCCAACTTCTCCCAGAATGGAGTCGTTACAAAAAAAAGACCATCATACTGCCAAAATTCCCCCAAACGAGAAGGGAATCTTCCCCCCTTGTACTAGGTCAGGGACTCACTCCAAGTTTTGCTTCAGGCCATATGTTTCTCCCAGCACTATTTTAATTGTTGCTTTTACCATTCAACATAATGAACTTCTGTCTCCAGAAGATACTAAAAAGTCTCCTGTTTCCCAACTTACTTTAGCATCTTCAATAGATTTTTTTGTTAAATTTATAATACCATAACAACATCAGTATTAAATTTTCTTTCCCCTGCATAATTTTAACATTTTTGGATTTTTTAAAAATATTACAATTTGCAGAATTTTTTGGCACGCCATTTTACACTACTCTCATTTTGTGAACATTTTTCTTCACCTTCATGCACTGCTAAACAAACATCTGTTATTCACACAACACTATTCTCAGTGATGATTACCTTATGCATTATATGGTTTCATTAATAAATCATATTACTAATCATCTGTTTCTGTTACCTTTAATAAAATTGCCCATTCCATTGCATACATATCTGAGGGACTACAGCATTTCCTTATTTTTCTAAGTGCATATTTAAAGGGGGAAAAAATGCCAAACTGAGTTAAATTCTACTGCCAAGTCCCTTTCTATCTACCTACTTACCTACCTATCTCTCTCTCTCCTGTTTCTTATGATGTTTCCAGATTGGCAACGCTCAAATCTAACAGCAGTAATCACAAATTAAATGGATGTTGGGTTTTGGACCCAAGGGACCACTTTACTTTCTGCTCAGAGGGAAAAAATTATGCTTAAGGCTAGCAAAAGCCATTTCAGAGAGAAGAATGTTTCCTTTTCATATGCAAAAGATAGAATATCTAAATTTAAATTAGGAGGACAACTGCCCTGAAACTGACATTCCTTGTGAAATGCAAAAGAGCTTTGTAAATAAAATGGTACCTTCAGAACAATTTTTAATTATTAATTATGCTTAAGCTTTAAGTTACAAGTCTATTACTGATTGTTGGTTAGAATTTCTATTCTTCCTGTATCAGATTCCTTCTCTGTTTTTCATTATTAAAATAATTCTGAATATCCTTCTGAAAAAGTCTCTCACTATGGGATTCTGCCTTCCCAGGGGAAAGTAAACAGATGCCCTTGGCTAAACTGTATGTATCAGGAAAACAAATGGGAAGTGGTCATTACCAAAGTCAACGAGCTTGACTCCACCTTCTGTTGTCAGGAGAATGTTGTTCCCTTTCACATCACGATGAATGATCCGGTTATTGTGTAAATGCTGAAGGCCCTATATACCAGCAGTAACAAAAATAAGTTTACTCCCTTATTTAAAAACAATTACCCTACTATTAGGGAACGTAATGAAGACAATCTGCACATACTCTATGGAAACATCTGTCCACCGGATTACATGCTTGATACAACCCCTGCTGCTATAATAGCCCGCATAATATTGTCAACATTACCACATTTTATAAATGGAAAATGTATGTCTGAGATGAGTAAATTGCACCCTCTGCTGTCATTACAAGCCCAATGAACATCCTTACCAAGAGAGCACCATATAAGATGTATGAGATTATAGCTTCATCCAACCGTTGGCCACACTTCAGCAGGCCTTTGACAAGCTCTGTGACAGAACCTCCATTGCACAGCTGTGAAAGGGGGAGTTGGGGGCGGGGGGGGGAAGCAAGACAAGTCCTCAGTTACTCAATATATCTGTTTAGGCTGTAAACATCTACCGTGCAAAACTGCACTACAGCACAAATCTGGTAACAACTAGATTTTTACCTTGCAATTATTTAAGTTGTCACCCACCTTAGAACACATTTTATTATCAATGTTAATAATAAATCACAGCAGCCTGAGTGGGGTAGGGAAGTGAAAACCGAAGATTATAAAGTATAATTTATAAAATGTGACTAAAAATCAAAATATTATGAACAGGACTGTATTTTGTTGTTAAAAGAGGATTTATAAGTCCAATTTACGTTATTTGAGTATTTTCACAATAATCCATGAATTGTCTTTTTGAAAAACTGCTTTTGTGCAAAGAAAAGACCAGACAGAAAAGACAGATGCTCTTGATAACTGGGAGGCAACAAATTACAGTCATTTTAAACTTTCATTCCATCAACGCTCCTGCTGGCAGGCAATATAAAGTAGACAGAAGCCATATCTCTATACTCAGATTTGATGGCACGTGCACCAACAACTGACAGGAAACATTCTGATCCAGAAAAGCAGCTTCTTGCAAGCATTTCCCACTAATGGGCTGCCATACATCAAAAGAGGAGGAGAAAAAGCAAAATTAGAATCTTTGTAAATATGTTTTCACCCACATCTTTACCTTACTGCCCATGCCCTTCTAAGCAGCTATTTGCCTCTTTCCTTTCTCCTCTTTCTCTGTCCTTTTCTTAATATTCACAATTGTTTGACAAAAAAAAAAACACGGGGG